GGCCCCCCTCCTGCTCCCTATACACACAGGGGCAGACCATTAAGAGGAAATAACAAGGGGAATTATTCCACCCCTCCCGACCAAAGGGTTGGTATAACCCAGAGGCTGTGCAGCAGCCTGAGATGGAAGGAAACACCATTAGGAGAAAAAGGGAGGGGGAGAATAATTCCCCCTGCAGGTGAGAGAGATGGGCTAAACCACATGCTGCCCGGCAGGAAAATACCACTGAGAACAGATGGGAGGGAATCTGTCCCCCTTGGAGAAGGAATGGTATGACCCGCCGGGAGGGGGAGAGAAGAATCCCATCCCCCTTGCAAGGATCCTTGCAAGGACGGTATGCTCCGCAGGCTCCTCCGGAAGCTCAGTAGCACGCGCCATTGCGATCAGGAGAGAGCTTGCCCCCCCCGTTGGAGGGTGGAATGGTATGACCCACCCGCTTCTGCGCAGGCCTAGAGGACAATGCTATGAGGAGCAGCAGGAGGGGTGTACAAGATTTCCCCCTAATGAAGGGGTGTGGTATGTTCCGCAGGCTCCTCTGCGGGGAGGTCCCACTAAGCATCCCCCCCCAGCGAGAGGGTGGTACGGCCCACACACCCCTCCGGGGACACCGCGGGTAATACCATTGTTGAGGGGAGGGGGCGGTACCTCCTCATCCGCCTCGCATCACCAGTGGGGAGAGCCCCTGACCCCTGCTGCCCCCACCCTTCCCTACTGCCCCAGCCCCCTCCCGCTGCCCAGGCTTAGACCCCCGGCAGCCCAGTCCTCCCCAGACCCCTGCAGCCCCCAGGCTCGCACCCCCCAGCCCCTCCCTGCTGCTCCCCTTGAGACTCCTCCCAGCCCCCCAGCTGCACCGGACCCTGTGCACGGGCAGGGGCCGCGGTAACACCACTTGCCCGCTGTCTCCCGGCTCTGACCTGCGCCGTCCTCTCCTCCCCCAGGCAGGACTCCTGGCCCCGTCCTGGCACAGCCTGAGGATGGAGCTGGGGGCTGAGCCGGGCCCCCCGCACTGCAGGGACACCGACATCCTGAGAGATGATGGCGCAGGTGAGGAAGGGGTTAACCCGGTGCCCTTTGGGATGGGGGGGCTGTCTGTCTGTCTGTCGTCATCCTTGGATTCTGGGTCTCTGTCCCGTGCTGGGGTTGCCAGTCTGTCCATCCCCACCCCGGGATGCCAGGCTGTTTCTGTCCCCATCCCGGGAGACCAGCCTGTCTGTCTGTCCGTCCGTCCCCATCCCAGAACGGCAGCCTGTCTGTCCTCACTCTGGACAAATATGCAAGTGCTGGGACCAGTGCCCACAGGTTTCCCCGATGGAGCCATCGTTACGGCTCCGCACCCACCCACCCCAGTCTCCAGCTTGGTGATCCTCAGCCCTCAGGGGTGCCGCAAGCTCCTTTCAAGGGTGCTGCTCCGTGCTGGCGTGGCAAGGGGGGCAGAGCTGCTTCCCTGGATAAACCCAAAGACAGCCCGTAGGAACCTAAAGGACCAAGTGAGCAGGGACCTGTTGCTCCCCAAGCCCCAGAAGACTAGAACCAGGGGGCACCCACAGCAATGAGCAAGAGACAGATTTTAACTTAACAAGAACAAGGACTTTTTTGTATGCAACGCATCGTTAGCATGTGGGACTCATTGCCCCCAGAGAGGGTGTAGACAGAGAGTGGAGCCAGGGCCTGGATGAACTCATAGAGGACCAGTCTGTTAATGGCTGCTGAACAAGAGGGTTGGAGATGTTTCCTTGGGCATCTCTCACCCCAGAAGCAGTAAGTACCAGGAGGGTTTTGAATGGGGGTAGATAGATCCAGCTCAGTGCTCTCCCTTTATCATATCACCTGCCACAGTCAAAGATGGTGATGCACCATGGGTCTGCCCCAGTCTTGATGCCCTTGTGGAAGGGGGAGAGAGCAGAGGCCAGGGCACTAGAAACCCCCACATGGCTCTGGACCACGAATGGGTCTAAGACTCAGGGTGGGAATAGAATATGAAAAGGAGGAAACACAGGCGAAGCTTTGAGAAGCCCTAGGGTGGACGGGTGGCACAGTGCAGAGAGGAAGCCCCAGAGCCCCATGCTGCCTCTACTTGTCCCCAGGCATGATGGAGATCAAGATGGATGCGGCTGGTGGACTGTGCCAGACGAAGTCCCCCCGGCAGCCCCACATGTGCCCAGACTGCGGGAAGGCTTTCGGGCAGAGCTCGCACCTGGCCCAGCACCAGCGCCTGCACACGGGTGAGAGGCCCTATGCCTGCGGGGACTGCGGGCGCCGCTTCGCCGCCAGCTCCAACTACCTGACGCACCGGCGTGTGCACACGGGCGAGAAGCCCTATGACTGCGGGGACTGTGGGCGCCGCTTCTCCCAGAGCTCGTCTCTGGCCAAGCACCGGCGCCTGCACACAGGTGAGAGGCCCTACGCCTGCCCCGACTGCCAGGAGGCCTTCGCAGCTGCCGCCGCACTGGAAGCTCACCGCAGCCGGCGCCACGTGGGCGACCGCCCCTTCCCCTGCCCCGATTGTGGCCGGGGCTTCCGGCACAGCTCCGACCTGGTGCAGCACCAGCGCGGCCACTCTGGGGAGCGCCCATACCATTGCCTGCACTGCGATGCCACCTTCGGCCTGGCTTCCACCCTCGTCACCCACTTGCGGGGCCACACAGGCGAGCGCCCCTACCGCTGCCCCCACTGCGGCGCCACCTTCGCCCGGAGCTCCACCCTCACTCGGCACTGCCGTGGGCATCGGGATGGGACCGAGACGGGAGCAGGAGCTGGAAAAGAGGTGGGGAAGCAGGGAAGTGAGCTGGGCCAGGAGCCAGTGGGTCTGGACCGGGTCATAGAACCAGAAAGGGAGAGCCAGGGCTCAGGGATGGAGGGGTGTCACCAGGGCACAGAGCTGAAGAAACAGAGTGAGGAGAGTGAGTTGAGCACGGTGCAAGGGGAACCAGGGGCAGAACAGCAGGGTCAGCAGCAGTGCGTAGAGCAGGAGAGGGTGGAAGGGCCCCAGCCACTCCCATCCGGGGCTGCCGCTGAACAGCCGTACCTGTGCCCAGCGTGCGGGAAGCACTTCTCACGGCGCTCCAACCTGCTAGCACACCAGCGCATCCACGCAGGTGATAAGCCCTTCCGGTGCCCTGAGTGCGGACGTGGATTCCTGCGCGGCTCCAACCTGCGCACGCACCGGCGCCTGCACACAGGCGAGCGCCCATATCCCTGCCCAGACTGCGGCAAGCGCTTTGGGGACACCTCAGTGCTGGTGAAGCACCAGCGCATCCACACGGGCGAGCGCCCCCACCGCTGCCCCGACTGCCCTCGGCGCTTCAGCCAGGCTTCAGACCTGGGCGCCCACCGCCGCGTGCACACTGGGGAGAAGCCCTATGTGTGCCCTGACTGTGGGCGCGGCTTCTCCCGTAGCTCCAACCTGCTCACCCACCGGCGCCTGCACCGCGGCGAGCGCCCCTACCCCTGCCCGGACTGCGGGAAGCGCTTTGCCCAGAGCTCTGACCTGCTGCAGCATGGGCGCGTGCACACGGGCGAGAAGCCCTACCCCTGCCCGCAGTGCGGCAAGGCCTTCAGCAAAGGCTCCACACTGGCCGGGCACCGGCGCATCCACACAGGCGAGAAGCCCTTTGCCTGCACCACCTGCCCCAAGCGCTTCCGCCACAGCTCCCACCTCACTGCCCACCTCCGCGTGCATGCCCGCCAGCGCCCACTCTGAGCCAGCCCTGGCCCCCACCAGCTACTCATGGAGCAGTGCTGACACCAGGGGGACCAGAATGACATTCCTGTGAGCTGTGCTACCACCAGGGGGTGCTGGAATGACATCACCAAGAGCTGTGATGTCATTACGGGGTGCTAGATTAACATCGCTATGAGCTGTGTTGCCATCAGGAGTGGCTAGAATGACACCGTGAGCTCTGCTGGCGCCAGAGAGCAGCAGGATTAGATCACTATGGGCTGTGATGTCACCAGAGGGTGCTAGAACGATGTCACCGTAAACTGACAACAGCAGGAGCTTTGGAATGACATTGCCATGAGCTGTGCTGCCACAAGGGGGCACTAGAATGATGCTGTTGGGAGCTATGATGTCACCTGGGGCACCAGAATGATACCCCACCATGAGCTGTGGTACTACCAGAGGGTGCCAGAATGACATCGCTATGAACTTTGATGTCACCAACGGGTGCTGGAATGATATGATGAGAGCTGTGCTGGCACCAGTCTGCTGTGGAATGACATCTGAATGAGCTGTGATGTCACCAGGGGCTTTGGAATGGTGCCACCGTGAGCTGTGCTGCCACCAGGGAGCACCAGAGTAATGCTGCTGGGAGCTGTGATGTCACCAGGAGGCTTTGGAATGATGTTACCCTGAGCTGTGAGGTTACCAGGGTACCTGAAGGACACCACTGGGAGTGGCTATTGGGAGCCATGTGACCACCAGGGGGACACCAGAGGGATACACCCACTTCTACCACCCCCTGGAATAGCTGCTGTGAGTCTTGGCAACGGAGGGTGGGCTGGAGGGGTGGCCTTGCCCCCCTGTCCCAGGGAGTGGTGGGATTGGCTTAGAGCAGGGGATGGGGTTGGGACATAGGGCTCCTGGGTCCTCTCCCCAGCTCCAGGGGAGTAGTGGGGTTAGGGGAAGAGAGCGCAGGGTGGCAGGGCTGAGCACCAGGACACTGGGGTACTTCCTGGGACTCTATTCTTGACACGTGTCCTGGCTCTTGGGCCTGATACCCTTGTACATCCCACCATCCCCAGGAACTAGGGCCCTGACATAGGCTCTGTTGCCACTCTTAGCCTTCCCCACCAGCCCTGGGTATCGCCGATACCTGCACAAGCTGTAGCAAGGCCTGTTTCCCCACCAAAGCAGGTGCAATGGGTCAGGGGGCAGGAACCCTCAGATCTCATTTCCAGCGGCCCCAGGAAGGTTGGAAAATTTGATGCCCCTTGCCTGAGTCTGCTGAGAGGCAGAAGCCCCTGCTTACTGCAGTACAGACCCAGGTGCCAAGCAGAGGGAGAAGGGGTGGGGAGATCTGGCTGGTGAATAGATCCGAGTCCTCCCTGCACCCTGTGATGCTGGTGTGGGGGGTGGTCTGGAGGAAGGGGCCAACTGGCAGGGGCTGTGGATTCCCTCCCACCCTCTGCTAAATAAACCTCTGAACTGGCCACAGATGCTTTGAGACTCAAGATGGAGCCCTGGTGGGGCAGGGGCCTGGCCCCAGGGCCTTGGGCCAGGGCTCTTTCCCCTTGTGGGGCATCAAACCCAAGCCAGCCCCAAGGGGAGCTTCCTTGTAATCATCCCATTGGGTTTTCCTACTAGGAAGTGACCTCTCCTGAAGTCCCCTGACACAGACAGACTGACACACCCACCTCATTTAAATGAATTATCCATTATTATTCGTGTTAGTCTCATCACTCCTCGCGCAGGTGGATGCCAGGAGCCCAGAGCAAAGCCACAGCAACAGCTGGGCAATGACAACATCTGGGCAATGATGAGCGAGCCGGGACCCCTTCCCCCAAAAAGGCCTTGGCTGGGGCGGTCTGGCTCCGAGTGAGGAGGGGGTACCCTGTCAACCAAAGCAAGGACAGCAACACCAGCGGCCACAGGTCACTGGAAGGCAGCTGCGACCCAGGAGTCCTGCTAGGAAAACTGATGGTCTGTTGTTGGAAAAAAAATAAAGATGTAGGATGGAGGGTGCCCCAAGAGGCTCCAAGGTGGGCGGCCAGCCCTCCACCCCATACTGGGCAGGACTGGGTGAACAGCTGTGGATTGGTGGGGGGGTGTAATACCCAATGTGGCCACGAGGGGGCAGGCCTGCTCCATGCAAAAAAGGAGGGCATGGCTTGAATTTGTGGAGCTTGTGGGGGTGACATTTAGGGGAACTTACCCCAGCCTCGGCTCAGCTGGCCCCAGAGTTTACAGGGTCTGGGAGAGGGAAGAACCCGGGTTAGTCCAGAGACCCATCCTGACCACCCCCCCAGATTTGGGGGGGTCTCATGGGGGCAGGCTGGGGATGTCCCCACCATAGGGGACGGGGACAGGGGTCCTGGGATGAGGCAATGGGGGGTTCCCGTCTCTTACCAGATACCAGGGAATCCATGGAACTCGTGTCGTTTCTGGAGGCTGCAGGGGGGTGAGACTCAGGACACAAGTTGTGGCTGTTTTCAGCCCCCTTCCCCCCCACTCCTAACAACCCATTTCAGGATGGGTCGCAGGCCTGTGCCCTCAATCTCCACCATGCCACCCCCATGCTCCAGGGCTGCAGAGGGAGGTCAGGAAGGAAAGGGCTCCCCAGCCACCACCCTAGGCCCGTCACCCCTTGCAGCCCCCTCCTCACAGCCCCAGGGCCCAAGCGGAGGTCTCCATGGCTGTCCCCCCAACTTCACCTCGTCTCTTCCAGAGCAGCAGGGCTACACCTAGCACCAAGACCCCGACCAGCATCAGTCCTGCTACGGCCCAAGGGCTGACACTGGCTATGCTGGGTGCTGGGGGTTCTTGGGGGGAGAGAGAGGCAGGGGTGAGAAGCTGGAGCAGGGCAGGGGGTAGCCTAGCTGGGAGGGAAGGCATGCAGGATGGTGGGGTCCTGGCAGGGAGCAGTGGGGGGCACAAGGCAATGGGGTCCCAGGGCAGGGCAATAGGTAAGACCCCAGCAGTGGGAGAGGGGCAGCCTGGGAGCACAGGGCTGAGTAGCGGGGTCTACAGGAAGAGGCAAGGTAGGGGGGGGGCTGCAGGTCAGGAGTGAGGGCACTGATGGGGCTGGGAGTGGGGCAGGGGGCTGCGGGTTGGGAGTGAGGGGGCACCAGTCAGGTTTGGGGGGGCAGGGGGCTGCGGTTTGGGACTGAGGGGCACTGGTCAGGCTGGGGGGCAGGGGACTGCGGGTCAAGAGGGAGCGGAGCTGGGAGGGTGATAGGAGGCAATGTCTCTTACCCCAGGCAGCCTCAAGCGGAGCTGCCAGGTCCCCATGACTGGCCTGGCACCGCACCCCCTGGGCCTGCTCAGCGGGCACCAGCAGCTGGCCCCGACGCTGGAAGTTGCCGTCACCAGCGGGCAGCGCGCCCAGCCCCGCTAGAACCCCTTTCAGCGTGGTGTTGCCTTGGTGCCAGCCCAGCTTCACGGCTGCTGTGGGGAAGCCCCCAGCCAGGCAGGTCAGTGCCAGCCACCCTGGCTGCTCCCGGGCCGGGTGAGACCAGACTTGCACCTGTGGGGCAGCTGGGGTGGGAGAAAGAGGGCATGAGATCCCCCATCCGCCCGGCTGCCTGTTGCCCACATCCTGGGCCCACCCAGGGAACACCGGCTGGTGGCCCACAGTCGCGGAGGGGAGCACAGGACCCAGGAGTCCGGGGCTGTGGGGGGAATCCTCAACCCTTCTCCCTGCCCCATACCCTGGTCCCAGGCGCTGCGAACACCCACGGCCATTGGGAATACAGCCACGAACCAAGGTGTCTGGGCACCGGGGCCAATCCCCATGCCCCCAGCCCCGTGCCGCCACATACCGTGGCGGCTGACCCAGGCACGCCGGCTGTGGAGGAAACGGCCCAGCCACTCCACGCAGGCATCAGTCAGGTAGCGCTGCACGTGGCGGCTGAAGTCGGGCTGGGCACTCCAGCGGCGCTGTGTGACCTCGGCCCAGCGGGACGACGCCAGCCAGCGCTCGTTGTCAGTGTCAAAGAGGAGGAAGTCAGCACCATCATAGGCAAACTGGTACCAGCCCCGGACCAGCCCGCCAGGCTCCACCATACAGCCGTGCTGCCACTGCAGCGTGCCTGCAGTCCACAACCACAGGGTCAGTGACATGATTGAGGGCTTTGAGGGCAGAGCCATGGGGGACACAAGGCAAAGACATGGGGGGTGGGAGATGAGGTCAGAGCTACTCAGGGGCAGAGACATAGACATGGGGGGTCAGAGCCACGGCGGGAGGGAGATACAGAGTAAGGGCCACAGGGGGATGGAGTTGGGCCAAAGCGGGACACAGGGCAGAGGACGGGGAGACATGGGGTTGGAGCCATAAGGACTCTGTTGGGGAGAGGCTAGGAGATTCAGGGCCCAGGACCACATACCCTGGGAGCGGTTGGTTCGGCGCTGGAGCGTGGCCACGGCATCATTGAACCAGGCCTCCTTGGCAGCACGGGAGATCCCGCCCTGGCGCCAGTAGTCAGGCTCCAGCCCATCCCGCATCCAGGGCTGGGCAGGCAGCTTGGCGCGGGCGGCGCGGTCATAGCGGTCGATAGGGGCCCCATCCAGTGCTCCCGCCGCCCAGAATTCCCGCAGGCCCCCGGCGTCGTAGGTGGCCGTGTAGTGGTAGGACAGGCTATGCGACTCCTCCACCCCGGCACCTGTGGGGGCCAGCGTCAGCCCCGTGGCCCAAGCTGCCCAGCCCCCCCCTGGCATGGCATGGCACCC